GCAGAAGCCTGTGCTGCAGGGTCAGAAGACTAGCAGTCATAAGATCGAATCCACGCGATGGAGTGAGCTCCCGTCGCTTGTCACAGCTCCCGCCAACCTAGCGGTTCGAAAGCATGCAAATGCAAGTAGATAAATGGGACCACCTCGGTGGGAAGGTAACAGCGTTCCGTGTCTAAGTCACACTGGCCATGTGACCACGGAAGATTGTCTTCGGACAAAAAGCTGGTTCTATGGCTTGGAAACGGGGATGAGCACTGGCCTCTAGAGTCGAACACGACTGGACAAAAATTGTCAAGGGGAACCTTTACCTTTACCTTAGTCATTGGAAAGCAAATATAGCCTTAATTTGCCAGTTTGTTCGCTGAGACCCATACATCTCAGGAAATCCCTTTGGAGAGGAGAAACTGGTTATTCATAGAGAATACCACTTCATGTCTAGAAACCCACACTCAAACTTTTCAATTAATTTTGTTTTTCACTTCTGAAGCTTGCAAGGTAGCTTTCCAGTTAAAAACACTTCATTTTTTTTCCAGCTAAACATTTTTCAGTTAACAAAAACACACGGTGGCAAACATATATATAACCACTGTATTATGTCTAAAAAACTTTAAAATGTTAATTATCGTCTTTGGCTACACCCCTGCCTCTTTAGCTCCGCCCCCACTGGTTGCCAACAAAGCTGAAAAATGCTCCCACCACCCCGAACCCTACAGAAATCACCTACCACTCACATAGAGGGCTTTGTTTTGTGAGCCGAAGATCTTCCTGCAGTCTCATATGGTTGCACTAACGTTTCTGGAATTTAGCTTAGAACTAAATCTCGACTACTTGGTGGAACAGTCCTTGTTAATGTGGGAAGCACTGGGGTTTTAAACTGCTTTGATTGTGCTTCTCCAGTCTCATGAAATGGTTATTGCACATACTTAATATGCGACTCAAATAGCTGCTTTTAAAGCTAACCTTTACACATTTAATAGAATAAAAGATGATGTGAAATGTCATTTTCTGGCAGAGCGCTCTCTCTGAGGCAAGACACGCGCTGAATAAAAACATAAGGATTTTTTTTAACACGCTGCTCCTCAGAGCTTCTTAGGATACTTCAGCCTAGACCAGAGACGGGCAACTTCCCAGGCCATGAACACCCCTACCCTACGGCAGGCCGCCCCATTTCTATGCTAAATTCTGGCAGTCCAGCAGAAACAGCAAAGATAGAGTGTCCTTTGAAAACAAGACATGTGGGGAGCGCCCAGCTGGTTTTAAAGCAGTACTAGAATAATAGAATCATAGCATGATGGAGTTGGAAGGGGGGGCTCTAAGGCCATCGGGTCCAACCCCCCACTCAAGGCAGGAATTCAAATCAAAGCAAATCTGACAGAAGGTGGTCCACGTTTTTCTTGAATGGCTCCAGGGTTGGAGTGCTCAGCACCTCCCGAGGGAATTGGTTCCATCGTCGTACTGCTCTAACAGTTTAGGAAGTTTTTCCTGATACTCAACCGAAATCTGGCTTCCTTTAACTTGAGCCCATTATTGCATTTCCTGCGCTCTGGGACGATCGAGAACAGATCTCTTAAAAAAAATCTTGAAAAGTGCTATCCTGTCTCTCCTCAACCTTCTTTTCTCAAGGCTAAACATGCCTGGTTCTTTCCGTCTTTCCTCATAAGGCTTGATTTTCCAGCCCCCTGATCACCCTTGTTGCCCTCTTCTGAACTTGTTCCAATTTGTTGGCGTCCTTCTTAAAATGTGGTGTCCAGAACTGGACACAAATACTCAAGGTGAGGCCTAAGGAATGCTGAAGCCTTCCAAAAATGTGATCTTGCTTTAAAAATTAAGATGTGGGAAAAGGAAATATCAATCTGTCCTGAGGTAGTGGTTTCCTAGATCTAACCTTTCACTTTGAGTCACTGGGAAACAACAGTAGGATGATTTCTAATCAATACACATTTCTTATGGAACAGTGACATTTTACCCCAGCCAAGCGATCTCACTGTAACCTGTCAATGAACAACCTTGAATGCCACCGTATTGAACTATTTATACACGATCTAATTGCTCAGTATTTGATACTACAGATCACATCACGGTTAACTCCTTGCACTAGTGTAATCTGAGCACCTCTAACATTTCCTATTGGGGGACGGATCCACATTTCTAATGGTCTGTTTGGTTGGTTGGTTTTGGACACAAAGACGTTTCTTCCCGGGGGGGCCGCTGCAATCCAAATGTGTTGAGCTCGACCGAAAACCGAATCCACATTCAATGCATAGTTTGCAAACTGAAACAAACCATAATAAAAGGGTGGGGGGAAATGCAGGGTGGTCTATCAAGCACGTTATCGTCATCCATGGCTGGTGGCTTATGTTCACCATAACTAACCTGAATTTGGGCAGGTATTCATTACACTGAAATCTATATACAGACTCCTGTATCCATTGAGGAGCAGTTCCAAATCCTACACAGGTGCCAAAAACCATGGATAATAGTGAACGCCCTGGGTTTTTTCTTTTAATAATTTTAATATTTTCAGACTGAGGTTAAGTGAAACTGCGGATGCCGATCCTGTGGATACACTGGTCCTACTGTATAGTTCAGTACTGTTGGTGTCACTATGCTACATTTATCTCCCGCCTTTCTTCCAAAGAGTTCAAGTCATTGCACATGGCTCGTCGCCTCCCCACGTTACCACCCGGTGACCCTGTGAGGTTGACCTGGTTGAGAGACTGTGACTGGCTTACATCAGTTGAATGAGTTTCATAGCCATGTGGGGATATGAACTCAGGTTACCCAAATCCTGGTCCAAACCACAAACTCACCCCCGCTTGACAACTGTACAAGAAGCACAAACAATGTTCATTGCCAATGAGAACTTAAATCTCATCCTGAAGGGCACTTTAAAAACACCGAATAGGAGATGGGTCAAGAAACTTCGCCTTCACTCCAGATTTGCTTCTGGCCTGAAGATAATTTGGCCAAACAAAGAGTTAGGAAGGGCCAGCTAAGTGGCGACTCATCCTTTCTCTCCAGTACAGCTGCCCATAAACCATGGTGTTTGTATTCGCGAAGGCTTTCACGGCCAGGATCTAATGGTTGTTGTGGTTTTTTTGGACTCTGGCCGTGTGTATACCCACAACAAAAACACACTGATCACCATAATCACCCAACACCTGAAAAGGACAAAAGCTGATCCCACAGCTATAAATCCTCAACTCCCAAACAAACTGCACCAGAGCACAGAGTGCTACTCCTGTCCTCTGAAGATGCCGGCCACAGAGACTGGACAAACGTTAGGAAGAACAACCTTCAGAACACGGCCAAAGAGCCTGAAAAACCCACAACAACCATGGTGTTTGTGTTTTCTTTTACCTGCTGTGAAAGAGGAGACAGCTGCCTGCTCTTCTTCTTGTCATCTCTAACAGGAAAGAGAGACTTAAGCAGCTTTGGCATCTGAGGCACGAGGGACTTCACAGGAGTCAAGTAAGAGGCGGCCAGGCTGGTCAGTCCTGCCAACAAAAATGAAACAAACGTGAAAATTAAAAAGCCGTGCAACGCACGGTGGTGTTCTTCTCCTGAAGAGTCAAGATTCACAATGCTACTGAAGCACACTTTTGACCCTTTCCAAAAGGGGTGGGCAGGTTTTGTTAAAGAACCGACTGCTTCATTCGTTTGTTTATGGGATGTATATTTCTTCACCAAATAATTATACCCTACAAGGAACTTGTATCAAACTCACCCCTTACAGGAATTAAGAAGCTGCTGAGTCAGTCTACTTAGCTCAGTTTTGCTGGATCTGAGTTTCAGCAGCAATTCAAGTTTCAAGTCGGATCCCTTCCTAGTCATACTTAGTATTCCTTGGTCATCTCCCATTTAATTAGTCACCGGACCAGACCCTGCTTAGCTCCCCAAATCAGATGAGATTGGTGCCTTCAGGATGATATGGTAGAATATTCAAGATTCTTCAACTATCTTATCCTAAGAAATGAATTACCGTATTTTTCTGTGTATAAGACTATGCTTTTGTCTAAAATCTTTAGACTAAAAATTGAGGGTCGTCTTATACACAGAAGTAAGCTGAGAAGAGAAAAACAAGTGGAGAGGAAAGCAGGGATCAAAGTAATTCTGCATAACTTTTATCCCCTTCACTCTACACTTGCCAGTTAGATTTCTTAATTTTGGATTAGAAAAGGGGCCTTATACATAGGGGTGTCTTACAAATAGGGGTGTCTTATACATGGAAAAATATGGTATTTTTCACCCGGCACCAAATGCAGACCAAAGTTCAGACCAACCTTCAAAGGAGAGAATTTCTCATTTGGAGGTGCCACCACTGAATAGGCCCTGCAATGAGTTTTTGCAGCCGGGACCTTGTTAGGTGGGCTTATAAATCAAACAGCTTCCCTAACATATCCCATTTCATGGGCGGGAGGGATGATACAGGGAATGGCGGTCCTATAAGGCCCCTTTGTAAAGGGCTCCTTATTCTATAGCAAGATACCATCGGTGTCTTGGAAATGTTTTTACCTGGATCGGTAGAACCGTTTTGCTGAGGACAGCCCGGGAGACTCGCTCTGGACCGGTTGGACTGGGCTGAACTTTGTGACACATCCTGTTGACTTTCCCAACGGCTCTAAAAACAATTAAGAAAGAAAACACCCACAAAGGGATAAACCAGAAGCACCAAGAGTTAGGAAAGAGCTTGGCAAACCACAGTCAGAAGCCGTCCCACACAGAATAAAGGAAGGAAGCAAGACCGGGCAAGCCCCATCTCAAGGAAGATTCCATCTTCCATTAAATGACTTCCGCATTAAAGGTGGAAGTCATTTAATATTCTTAAGAGATTCTTCCCACCCTTGGAGCTGATGCCTTCCGGCAGAAGATACAGAGCAATTAAAACTCGGACGACACGCATTTGCAACAGTTTTTATCCTAGAGCTATAATTGAAGCTTTTGCAACAGTTTTTATCCTAGAGCTGTAATTGAACTTAACAAGGAACTTAAGAATTGCCAGCAGTGAGTTGTTGGACTATATTATTATTACTTGGTCTTTTCAGTTGTATGTTGTGTGGCTACTGTGTGCTCTTAGGCAGGGTTCTGAGTTTTAGGATTGTTATGCGGGGGTATGTGTTTTGGTCTGGTCTCTGAGTGTTCTTTGTGAATTTCGTTGTATGTATATACGGTGTATACGCGTTCAATGACAATAAATTATTATTATTAAATTATTATTATTAATAAACAGGAAGGATGAGAGACCCCAGTGCTAAAAGGAGACAGGACCTCTTTCCAGTTTGCTGTGTCTACCATAGATTTCAGCATCTGATTTCAAATCCTCCCACAGCTAAGCAGGTCTGGATTCGGCCCATGCCTGAATGAGAGGTCTCTTATAAAGGATGCTTTTGGTTTGATGACAGAAAAAAAAGAAGGATGTGAATGTAATAAATAAATACATGCTCCTCCATGGTACACCTACATCCCCACAGAAAACCACATACTAGTTGCAGAAATTTTGACAATTTTCTGGTACAGTGGTGCCTCGCTTGACGAGGATAATCCGTTCCAGCAAAATCGCTGTAGAACGAAATCTTCATCAAGCGAAAGTAAAAAGCCCATTGAAATGCATTGAAAACTGCTCAATGCATTCCAATGCGCGAAATACCTCAGCGTCCAGCGAAGATCCTCCATAGGGCAGCCATTTTCCGGTGCCTGCACAGTGAAAAAGCCTTCCTAAACACAGCGGGGAGCCATTTTGAAACAGCGGGCAGCCATTTTGAAACCCAACGATCAGCTGCTTTGATTGTCATAAAGCGAATCGGTTCCCGAAGCAGGGAACCGATCATCGTCAAGCGATTTTCTCCTATTAAAACATCATTTTGCAATCGCTATAGCGATTGCAAAATACTCATTGTTAAGCAATTTCCCCGTCTAACGAGATAATCGTCAAGCAGGGCACCACTGTATCAGCATTTCCTATATTTCCTTAAGATACCCTCTTTCACCGCTGTCTATCTTTTCCGCCTCTATTGCTTTTATATTGTGTTTATGGTCAGGGCCAAGAACAGTTTGGGGAAAGCTGCTATGAAGCGCCAGCCATTTAGAAGGTCTTGTTGAAGAGGACTCAAAAAAGCACAGATGATCGTTCAGGAACAGAGAGCTTCTCTTTCTATTCAGGACAGCTCTGCTGGAATTCCAAAGGCTTTAAGCTCATTGCTGAAAAAAAAAAGTCCCCCTAGGCTTGGGATCCTCTTAAAAACACACTGAAATGTCTTAAGTAGCCAAAATCCTATTGCAAGCCTAAATTTGGGAGTTAATGGCTGCAACTTACCGAAGTCCTTGTCGACATTCTTTGTTGCACACTGAGAGGTGTGATCCAGTAGGCCACAGACAGGGTCTGCGCTGATTTTGTAACTTGCAGCCATTTGCTGTTAAAAGTTACACCCATCTACTTTATTCAAGCAACAGGATTTTAGCTGGCTGATAACAGGATGGAACTCTGGAAAAAGCTTGCGGTCTGCAGAAACAAAGCCCTCTAGAGTAGGATGGTCTATACAAGAGAGATTGTCAAAAGGAAGAGTTCTTCCTTGGAACTGAAGCTTAGAGGAAGTCAAAGAGTTGTTGTTGTTTAGTCGTGAAGTCGTGTCCGACTCTTCGTAACCCCATGGACCAGAGCACTCCAGGCCCTCCTGTCTTCCACTGCCTCCCAGAGTTGGGTCAAATTCATGTTGGTTGCTTCGATGACACTGTCCAACCATTTTGTTCTCTGCCGTCCCCTTCTCCTCTTGCCTTCACACTTTCCCAACATCAGGGTCTTTTCCAGGGAGTCTTCTCTTCTCATGAGATGGCCAAAGGATTGGAGCCTCAGCTTCAGCATCTGTCCTTCCAGTGAGCACTCAGAGTTGATGTCCTCAAAGACGAAAAGAGTAGCATTCCCCCTTAATCCTCTGGACCAACTTGCTGCTTGTCTCTCCTTCTTTTCCAATCTTTCGGGACTCTGGTACAATCTGTCCATTTCCCTACACCAGTCCAGACCACCCATCTTCTACCACATTAATACTAACAAAAGTCAATAGCCGGGAAGCTACTGCACTTAACAGCTGGCCATCACGTCCTCAAAACACACCCCATGGCTTAGCTTTGTCTAGCATGCGGCTACTGCAGTGCTGGTTTGGGTTTGATCTCTCTTTCTCTCTCTCATTCATAAACATACAGACCCTTCTTCTCTCCTGTGCTCATGTTAAACTTAGAAGGGCTGAGACTCATCAGAGGCCTGGCACTTCAATCTCCGAAAAAGGACGACGATCAAGTAATGCAAGAAAGAACTCATTCATTATATGTCTGGGGAAAACCTTTGCCAAATGACTGGGCACCAAGGTCAGACTTCATTAAACTAATTCTCATCCGCCGCTCTTAAGAACATCACGCTCCCCGCCTCACCCTGGCACAAGGTCACTGCTCCGAGGGTTCGGCACTTTCTAAACCCTTTTCAAATCCTTCTCTCTCTCTGCCTGCACTTTCCTGTTCTTCCCTTTTGCCCGGGACTGAGCAAAACCAACAGCGATAACTCTGACACGTTTCAGGCCATAGAGGTCTTGATCGCAGGCCAAAGTGGGGAGCGGCCCGTGGAAGCGTTACGCCAAATTAAACTTTCCTGACCCTCGGATGCCACAACATCTAGCTGTGTTAAGTCTGTGGCCGCAGAAACAACCAGAAGTCTTTCGACACCTGAAAGACTCCCCCGGATTTCTTTCTTTCTTTTTATGGCATCCGCTTTCATGGATTGCAGCTGATTTGCATCTGAAGAAGCGGTGAACGGATCAGGACTATTTACTCCCTAGAAAACCTACTGGTCGGTAAAAGTGCAGACCAAACCCAACAGCTCTTGCCACAACAGATGGATTTAGCTTCACCCCTCCCATCAGAGTTCATGATGAGGAGCAACTAGCCATGGGCAAAAAGCCCCGAGGCAAATCTGACTGGAGTCCATGTCTTCATAGGAAGAGTCTTGTGGCGGTCGTTAAAACTGCAGTCCTGCAGTCAAGACTCTGCTCACAACCCGAGTTCAATCCCAATAGTTCAGTGAGCCGGCTTGAGGTTGACCCAGCCTTCCATTCTTCAAAGGCCAGTACATTGAGTACCCACTTCATTGGGGTTGGGACGTGTTGCCTAAATAGATCTTGGTCTGATCCAGAAAAGGCAAATAAAGCAATCCCTGTCGCTGGAGGTAGGGGAGAACACAAACCTGTTAGCTGAGGATCGCGTCCGACTGTCCTCTTAAAGGGTGCTCACAACAGCCTCTTCTTCTCAAAATCAACATGCCACACAATGGCCATGCTCAACTGCTTTGAAAGGACTTGTTGAAAAATGGCTATCACGGACTCTCCTTTCCGAAAAACTAACCAATGTCTTGCTCTACCTGCCTTATGCCTCAGTGTGGAACTTTCCCCTTTTTCTTTGGACTGTTTTCAGGGGACTGAGAAGTGTCTTAACAAGGTCACCCCCCCCCACACTGCTGGCAACCCATCAAGCCTAACGCCACCATCATGGATGGCAGGCGACGCAGGGCTCCATAAAACCTCCTGTTCTCGCTGGCAGGCTAAGAGCGCAAGGAGACGTTGACCAGCCGGCCGCAAGCCATGGCCTTCCTCTGCAAGTCACGCAGCAAAACCAGACAAGACAAAATTCACATGGCTTAAACTCTCAGAGAGAATTTAACTGGGGTTTAAACGCTCTCTGAGAAACACGGGAAAGGGCGAAAAAACACACACAATGTACATGCAAGCGCAAGGCGTTCCATGTGCACTCCAAGGCCCAACCTGGGGTCCTACATCCTGTCACCAAATGTAGTTTTAATAAGGAAGGCATAAAACCAGAGGTCTAAAGGACATGCTATGGAGGACAGCTCCTATTTGTCTCTTAATGCCAACCACGATGATTAGGATTTCTGGGAGTTGACCTCCAGAACAGCTTACAAGGCCAAAGTTTTCTCGTTTTTGCTTTAGACCAATGGTTCCCAACCTTGGGTCCCCAGACGGTCTTGGACTAACACTCTCTGAAGCCTTTATCACTAGCTGTGTTGGCCAGGATTTCTGGGAGTTGACCTCCAGAACAGCTTACAAGGCCAAAGTTTTCTCATTTTTGCTTTAGACCAATCGTTCCCAACCTTGGGTCCCCAGACAGTCTTGGACTAACACTCTCTAAAGCCTTTATCACTAGCTGCGTTGGCCAGGATTTCTACGAGTTGCAGTTTGTGAACCTCTGGGGAGCCAAGGTTGGGAACCATTGCTGTAGACCGATGCTTGGGTAATCCAGGTGTTTGTGGACTGCAATTCCCAGAAGCTTTCACCACCAGATGTGCTGGCCAGGATTTCTGAGAGTTGTAGTTCAAGAGCACCTGGATTACCCAAGGTTGGGAATCACTGCTGTAGACCGGTGCTTGGGTAATCCAGGTGTTTGTGGACTGCAATTCCTAAAAGCCTTCAAAACCAGATGTACTGGCCAGGATTTCTGGGAGTTGCAGTTCGTGAACCTCTGGGGAGCCAAAGTTGGGAACCACTGCTGTAGACCGGTGCTTGGGTAATCCAGGTGTTTGTGGACTGCAATTCCTAAAAGCCTTCACAACCAGATGTACTGGCCAGGATTTCTGGGAGTTGTAGTTCATGAACATCTGGGGAGCCAAAGTTGGGAATCACTGCTTTAGACTGTCAGCTTCACTTCTGGGGATGAAAGTTATTCCCTAAACCTCTGTATAAATCAGAGACAGCATACAAGTATCAACAGCAAGACTGCTGTGACTGCTCAGATAAGGGGACAAGCGACCCATCTCTAAAGCATGTCCAGTTCTATCATGATGCATCCACCATCACCTTCAGAAGAAGGATGCTTATCTCTAGGGTTAACAAAGCACAAAGGGGGGGAAAAAGGAGACACTGCACAGCATTTCCAAAGCAGATTTAAAGCGTTAGGTTAGAGCAAAGGGCAAAGCACTCCACAATGGGATAATATATTTATCCCATTCATTAGGCAAACCTAATGAATGAGTTACCTCTGGCAGGACTTTTGGAAACTGATAACATGCAAATGAGGGATGGGTACCGTTGAAGGGTTAAGAAACAAAAAAACACAACAAAACAAAGAGAAATAATGAAAATTGAGATTATGAACAGTGCTTTCCACTTTTTAAAAAACCAGTACAGTAGTTTAAAACAAAGAATGGTTTGCATTTTACGGAACATTTACAGATTTTCCAAAATGTGAAAGTTAGCTGCAGATACTAGCCAAATGCAAGGCAGATGCCTCTCACCCACACAAATCAATAATCAGCTACAGCATTTTGCTGGCAACTGCTATGGCAGTGGGACGAGAAAAAAAATCAACAGGCTCAATTCATTAAATGTCAGCCCACTTTCAAGGCCCATCCGTTCCAGCGGGGAAAAAAATCTCAACCTGTCTCAACTCCTTCCACCGAAACCCATGGACCTTTTAAAAAGTGCTTCAGCTTTGAACAGAATGTGGTTCATTCAGAATTTGGAAACATCCTCATCATCCTTGTTATTATTTGACTTCCAGAATCTCCCCGCCGGTAAAGGCTGCTGGGAAAAATTGTTGTCCAGGAACGTTAACTTCCCCAAGTTCTGGTCTCTGTGAAACTCACCGCCGTGAAACTGTGCATTGCCTGAACCGTTTGGTCATATGGTATAATAGCATTTCATTTAAAAAATGGTTTTAAAGAAGATTCCCATGTTCATAGAAGTTTGGAATAAAAGTAACGGGCCATATAGACTGAAGCCAAGGATGCTAAATTTCCATTCTCTCTCTCTCTCTCTCTCTCTCTCTCTGTTTGTGTGTGTGTGTGTGTGTCTGTCTATCTTTCTCTCTTCCTGCCCCCCACCCACCCCGGGCTGCTTCTCACTTTTACAGCAAGCTTCAGGGGATGGGCGGCCAAGGAATACCAGCTTTTGCTTCTCATTGTACAGGAAAGGATGTTCGAAAAGAAAAGCATATTGTTTCTGTTCAAAGACACCTTTTCTCCAGCTAGCCTGGAGGTACAAGGAAAAACAGATCCCCATAATGGACCTCGGAGAAGACCAAACACTTCCAGGGTTTGCAAAGGGCCAGCAGGATTTACTGGTAGGTACCAAAGCTAAGTGTATTGGATGGCAATGGCTATCAAAGCTTGCTAGCCAGCCTCAAAAAAACAAAAAAACAAAACAAACAAACAAAAGACAGTCGGAAAAATCGTTTGGAAGCTTTCTCACCGTCTAATCTCGCCTTAAATCAGACTATCATGTCATGTCATGTGTCATGTCGTGGGGTGTGGTGCTATGCTATTATCTCAACTTGCATACCCCATACACGCTCCGGGTAGTTCACAAAATGTTAAATCGCATACCGTACTAAAGCACAAGACTCAGCAATTAAAAAAAACACAGGAAGCAATGAATCCTTTTCGAAGCAGCTTTCAGAACATCTTATCAAAAATATTTACAATAATCCTTTTGTTAAAAACGTTCAACATCCAAATAATGCCCCTTCTAAAAAAAAAAGAGAGAAAACCAGATTCTCGAAATTCTGAAAACTTACTTTGTAAGTAGCAAGGCTATAGGGCGGATTGAGATCTTGGCGGCTTCCAGAGAGCTGAAAAAGTGAGGGAGGAGGGGGGGAAAGAGATATCAAAACGGGGAAACGCAAGATGGGCAAATATCCGTGGGCCTGGAGGCTGGAAGAGTGCCCGAGGCGGAGATCCGTGGTTAGAGCATCCTAATGTACTTCTTCCAGTTTGAGAGTTTCTACCTCCCACCACCAAGAGGCCGCCTGCCTTATAGCGTGGCTGCCCGCTGCTTCTTGGGAACGGCATGCATAATTGTGAAGACGTACCCGATTCACGTTCGGGGAACTGAGACTCTTCCGGTACAGCTTTCCTTTGCCCGTGACCTGCTCCTTCACAGCAACTTCCTGCAATGAACCAACAGATCAATTTAACATTTACCACCACTGTCCCCAACCTGCCAAAGGGGAAGGAGCTAAGAGCTGGACGAGGGGTAAGGAGCATTAAGGAGTCATGCAGGACCACTGTATCCAAAGGGGTTTGGTTCCAAGCCTGCCCTACCGCAGATTATGAAAAACATAGAACACTACAGTGGTGCCCCGCATAGCGACGATAATCCGTGCTGAAAAAATCGTTGCTATCCGGGGGGAAAAAACCCATAGGGGTTTAATGTGTTCCTATGGGGGAAAAACAGCTATGCGGAAATCCTCCATCCGGCCGCCATTTTCGCTTCCCGGTAAGCGAGGAAAGGGCGCGAAAACACTGCGG